ATATCTTTTATATATGCATTTTATACATGTTATACACAATTTATCTATATAAAGCTAAAATATGTGTTTAAGAAGAAAAGGGGGATGTTAATATTCACCTGTCCAGCCAAATGGACTAAATCAACCTCCTTCAGGAAGGGGATTGAGAATGACATCTAGTTCACCCCTCTCTCTTTTTTTCCATAATGACTTGACTTATGAGGAATAAAACAATCAGCATGTGAAATATTTTTTTGTGCAAGACAGAAACCAAATGTTTATCAGTTGTCTAAAACACATTTTGATGTGCCCAGGAAAATGCAAAGCCAAACACGGCATGTAATTCAAGCCAAACCAACTCTTTTCCTAGTAGAGCAGAAGCATTTCAAATTTCTACCTTGTCATCATCTGGGATTTCCCAATGAGAAAGCAAGAAAACCAACCTTTAAATTTCTGAATAAGGAAAACCAGGTAGCTACCCATGCATGAGGTTTTGAACTAGAAATTGGAAAATCTGAAATGTGGACCTAGTATACTCAAAAACTTTACCTGTAAAGGCCGTAATATGATTTGTCTTATTCCCTCACAGGAAGTTGTGAGAACCAAATGAGATAATTACTATAACATGCTACATAAATATAAATTAGTAATAATAGTAGTAACAACAACAACTAATATTCTTTGCATGCCAGGCACTATTCTACATACTTTATACATTTTAACTCATTCAATCCTTGCAACAATCCAAATGATATTATGTGATGTGATTAGGTGGCCCAGAACACTGAGCCCTCAAATATCCTGAGGTCACTTCTCCCTGATGTATGCATTTTATGTATGACCATACATATGTTTAACAAATATGCTTTATATTTTTACATGTTAATGAATACAGGAAATGTGTTCAGTTATGATTTAGTTGAACATTGAGCTGCTTCTATATCTTTGTGCTTCTAATTATTTTTAAGAAAAGAAGAAAGAAGGCACAGGAGTAAGGAAAACTGTTGAAGAGGCAGGCACTTTCATTTACCCTTTCCTCGAGTGTTTGTCTTAATCCCAAGCAAAAGGAACCTCTAGTACATTTCTGTCCTCTCTCGATTTGCCCTTTCTTTGTTCCTCCTTATGGGAATGACTGCAGTGATTGGTCAGTTGAGGACTATCATTGAACCACTTTTACTGGCAGGCTAGACCTGTGTTGAAAGCTAAACATCAGTGTTCATGACTGTCTTGTCCTCTCATTCACTTCTGAGCCAGGCCAAACACACTCTACTTCCTGTCTGAGTGACAAGCACATGTGGGCAGGGCCTGGAGCCCATGTTTTAAAAAGAGGCTTGTGGCCCTTGCCTTTTGTCTGTTCCAAAAGTCTTGCCTATGTCTTCACAACAGCATGCCTGAATACGTAGGTACAGAGGTCTATTAATCAGTGGACAAAATAGGAAACCCCAGCACAGCCAGACTCAAAATGCTATCTCTAACACTGCAGTCTATCTCAGCCTTGCATTTTGGGGGATTTGTAGCTACCGCTTAGATTGAGGGGTGCATATCCTTTTCATTAGCCTAGTGATCTTTTCATGTATGTTCCTAGAAGAGAAGAGGGTTAGTGGCACCCTAATCTCCTAAAAGAAATCTAAATTGTAGCTTAAGAAACTTGATCTCCTCTGCTAGATGGAACCATAGAGTCTCCTTCCATGCGTCCAGGATGTGGCATAGGATTTGACCCAGAATAGTGGCTCAGAAAATTCTTGTTGGGTGAATTAATAAAATATGCTAAAAAAAAAAAAAAGAAAAAGAAAAAGTGGAGTTTGAAAAAATTTGGAAAGGAAAAGAGATTTCCAGAAAGATGAGAATGTAAGCTTAGCTTAGACTGAGCAAGGAAGGGTATAGACTTTCATAGAACCAAGCCAAAGTACCTAGAACTGAAACATCTGACTTTGGAGCTAACAGAACTATCCAAACCGAAGGGCCAGAGTCAGAACACAAGGGCAAAAGTTCTCAGGCAGAAGCAGAGATGACAATTAGCTGTCAATAGGATGGCTGCTCTATGACACACCTCCCCACAGGTAGGTCTTGAAATATCTACCATCTGACTCCTAGCGGTTAAAACATCTTCAGAAGGTCATTCAAGATATCTGCCAATATCATGTATTTTACATGTCAAAGGGGAGCAACTAGCATATGAGAGTTAAACTTCCTCTTAAACAACAGATGAAAGGCATAAAAGAAATGGTATGGGCAATCCCCCACTTAAAAATATATATTGTTTAATGAATTCATTAAATGTTTATCGAAATAATACATGTGTACTTAAGACAATCAAATAGTGAAAAAAAGGCTTGTAATAAAAATCAGCAGTTCCTGTATCACCATTCACTAATCCCTAATACTGGTCATAATAGGTGACTCTACTTTTTATCTATTTCTTTGGCATTTTGTTGTTGTTGTTGTTAGAGAAGGAGAGAGGGAAGGGGAGTGGGGAGGGAGCAGAAGGAGAGAGAGACTCTTAAGCAGGTTCCATGCCCAGCACAGAGCCCAGCACAGGGATAAATCTCACAACCCTGGGATCATGACCTGAGCCGAAATAAAAAATTGGATGCTTAACCGACTGAGCCACCCAGGTGCCCCAAAACATATTTCTAAATAACATGCCTACACTGCTATTTCTTAACTTAATAATTTTAGAAATCTATTGACTTCTTCTTACGGAGGAAAAGCTCTAACTCTACTATCTCTATCCTCATTCACTCAGGAGTTGGGTCACAATTTGGGGGCAAATCAACAGTATTATTATAACTATGTCCTTGTTTACTGTTGAGATAAGTAATTTTTTTTAATTTTACATCTTTTTTTTAGAGTTACCACTGCCTCATTTTTTTCCTTTTCTTAATTTCCGATGTTCATAATCCTTATATTTTTCTCTTTTTTTTTAAGATTTTTTATTTATTTATTTGAGACAGAGAGAATGAGAGAGAGAGAGAGCACATGAGAGGGGGGAGGGTCAGAGGCAGAAGCAGGCTCCCTGCCGAGCAGGGAGCCCGATGCGGACTCGATGCGGACTCGATCCAGGGACTCCAGGATCATGACCTGAGCCGAAGGCAGTTGCTTAACCAACTGAGCCACCCAGGCGCCCCATAATCCTTATATTTTTCTATCAATCTGCTATACTTGTAGCAATAGTTTTTCTGAATGTCAGACACATCATTTACTCAATCAAGTCCCTTCTTACCCTGAAGCCCTCCACTCTGGTTCCCCATCCCCCTGCTCCAATCTTGATGGGTCTTTAGGCTCAGGCTGACTTCCAGGGACTTAATTTGTCATTTTCTTATGGTTGGATCCTTGATTTCTAGATCTTAGATCTCATTGCTCAGTTGTATTAAGTTGATGGGTTTATCCTTTTTGTAAGTACTAGTACTAGTATTTTGTTGTTGTTTTTGACTCATTTTTATCAAATAATAAAGACCAGATGCAATTAAAATATTCTAAAAATTGTATGAACTCCTACTTAACAGAAATGATAGAGCCGTCCAATAATAAGCAGGCAGTACCAGCATGAAACTCCTTCACTCCTTGGGCATATTTGGTGTATGGAAGATAAAGTGTTATAGAGCACTGCACAAAAAGTGCAGTCCACCTTGTATTAAGGATACTGTGAACTCTAGATAAGCTACTCACTTGGTATCTCTTCAAACCAACATCTTAAAGATATTTCCTTAACTGTGTGTGTGTGCGAGTCTCTAACCCTTATGCCAGAATACTCATCTTTAAGTTCCCTCAAAACAAAACTCCATTTAAAAATAAGGTAAGTGATTCAAGTAGATTTTTTTTTCCTGAAAATTCCACTGGGGAATAGTGCATAGCTTTTCACAAATAAAGGGGGAAAAAAAAAAGAAAAAGGAAGGAATGGAGTCCTTCAGCTGTATCTTTTCTTTCAAATCTCTGTATTGGGCTTTCAAAGCCCTCTTCCTCTCTATAGCAGTGCACCCTCCCAACAACCATCCCTGCTTCTTGGAGCTCCCCACCCACAAACTCTCTCTTATGCCAAACACGTGCACTCTGCCCAGCTCTTGTTCCAAACCTGCGCAACAACCATTTGTGATCCCTTATTCCAGTCTTGCAGCATGCCCAAGGCTCCCAGATTGATCCTCCAGTTAAGTGGGATCCACTTTCTTTAGAAGCCAGTGAAGGATTATTGATAATAAATAAATTTTCTTCTTACATCTTCAAATTCAAACTAACAGATGTCTTCTATGCACTAAAATTAGAATGGACTAATTTCAATTTCTTCACTTATATAAGGAGATACACCTAAAAATCTAGGTTTACCAGCATCAAATTTCCAGATTGTGTGTGTGGGGGGGGGTGTTTATGCCTGGGTAGCTGGCCGACTAACACTGAGAGTGTCTTAGTTGAAAGTGGATCAAGTGAAATCAAAGACCACCATGGAGTTTTCCAGAGAAAGGCAAGTCAAAGAAAATACTGCAGGGGGGTGTGGGGAGGGATTGGTGGGTATAAGGCAGCATAGTACCCACTGTTTGGTTTTTCTGGACTGTGAAGGAGAACTGTTGGACTTTCAGACTAGAGAAGTAGGCAGAGACTAGATTATGGAGAGTCCTGGGGCCAAACTGAGGAGCTTTCGGATTTCATCAATAAAGTAACAGCAATGGATTCCAGTGGGAGGTCTTAGACTTATCTTGGTACGTAGAAAATAGAAAGAACTGTGAAGAAGGAAGAAAGAAAAAAGGAAGAGGAAGGGCACCTGGGTGGCTCAGTCAGTTAAACATCCAACTCTTAATTTTGGCTCAGGTCATGATCTCAGGGTGGTAAGATCGAGCCCCACATCGGGCTCCATGCTGGGCATGGAGCCTACTTAAGATTCTCTCTCTTCCTCTGCCTCTCCCCCCCAAACTGTGCGTGCTCACTCTCTCTCTCTTAAAAAAAAAAAAAAAGGAGGAGAGAAAGAAAGAAAAGAGAAATAAGGGAATCCTAAGAGTTCGAAGAAGTCTTGACATTTATTTAGTCCCACCTTCTGCTCAGTGCTGGAATCCTTTCTTCAACCCCGTACTAAGGGTTCCATGTCCCAGAGTTACTAAACTTTTTATTTTGAAGTCATTGTAGGTCCACCTGCAGTTGTAAGAAATAATACAGAACGATTATACATATTCTTCATATAGTTTTTCCCTCAAAGTACCAATTTGTATAATTACAACACAACATCACAGCCAGAAAATTGTATTTATACAATTGACCTTCACCAGTTTTACATGTAGTCATTTGTGTGTTATATGTGCATTTAGTTCTTTGCAATTTTATATCACATGTATAGACTCATGTGTTCACTACCACTGTCAAGATACAAGTAGCTTTATCACTAGGATCCCGCTTGAATGGAAATTGATCTGACATCATGATCATATCCCTCTAGGAGGAAGCTTTTGCCTACCACCCCATTTCTAAAGATTTTTAAAAAAAATGTATTCAAGAGAGAGACAGAGTGAGAGAGAGCACGAGAGGGCAGGGAGGGTGGGTAGAGGGAGAGGGAGAAGCAGACTGCCCGCTGAGCAGGGAGCCCAATGCAGGGCTTGATCCCAGGGCCCTGAGATCATGACCTGAGCCGAGGGCAGACACCCAACCAACTAAGCCACCCAGGGACCCCAAATTCCATCCTTTTTGACCTGGTCTTTGATGCCTGTTTCTAGACCTCTCTGATGCCAGTCACCTGTCCATAAGGGTCTTTGTCAATTACCTGCAACTCTATCCTCTGCTGACATCTTGTTCTACACTGCTTGCATAGAGATGATTGCTTTGACCACGGTTCTGATCTTTTGATAATAGCACACAAAGTGTTTGGGTTAGCACTGAGTTCAATGACATAAAATAGAAAACTGAAATAACTAACTTATACAAGCAAGCTTGTAAGATACATCCAGGCTGTAGAGTGGCTCTGTGATGTCATCAGCATCCGGTAGCCTCCTTTCTCAGTCTGTCATCCTGCCCATTGTGGTGGATTCTTCTGACACCTCATTGCTCACCTCTATCTATGAGGGAGGTTGATAAATACACTTTTCAGTGTATTGCCAGATAAAATATCGCATGGCACATGTATTCACTAATACAAATTTAACTGAGAGCCCCGTGCTTTTATTTGTTAAGCTGACAACTGTAATGCTTTTACTGGACTGCATCCATTGCCATACCCAATAGCATGGGGACACTAATTGGAAGCTGAGCTTTCCATCAGCAGTCTCTGCCATGCTGAGCCTTCTGTTTTCTCCTCTTGCTTGGTCTTCCAGTTTTTAACCCACATGTCCCTTCCTTATCCCTAGAGTAATTAGCCAGTTTTAGTCTTTACTAGGGTTCCTCATCTACTACAATTTCTAATAAAGTATTAAAATATTTTTATTTTTAGCAGCACAATAAACTCCGTTGTGCACTTGAAGTTTCCCTTGAGAGGTGAACTGAAAGAGAGGCATTTAGCTTAAATTGGATGTTAAAGACAAAGACAACTGAATTCTAATATAATTTGTCACATTAACTTTATAGCCTAAATAATTGGGTCCACCTCCCTATGTAAAATGTTTCCTATCTTACTGCTTTTATAGTACTTAATGCTGTGTTTTAATAGTTAATTTTAAGGTAACTAATATAGTACCAAAAATGGTGATGTAATTATATTCAAAGGGGGACAGAGGGGAAATTGAGGAGGGAAGTGAACTATTTCATCATCCATTGTAATAGGATGAGACAGAAGTTGGGGGTTGAGGGGGGAAAAGGTAAATGTGGTTAAAAAGAATAAAATTCCAGTGGCACCTGGCTGGCTTAGTCGGCACAGCATGTGACTCTTGATCTCAGGGTTGTGAGTTCCAGCCTCATGTTGGGCAAAAGCTTTCTTAAAAAAAAAGGTACAAACTTCCAGTTATAAGATGAATAAGTTCTTGGGATGTAATGTACAGTATGGTGACTATAGTTAACAATACTGTATTGTATGTTTGAGTAGATTTTAAAAGTTCTCACCACACACACAAAAATTATAACTATGTCAGGTGATGGATGTGTTAACCTTAATTATGGTGATCACTTTGCAATATATACACATATAAAATTACTACCTTGTACACCTTAAACTAATAAAATGCTATATGCCAGGTATATCTCATTAAAACTGGAGGAAAGAAAAAAGAGATGGGGGTCAGGATTCCTCCCCTTGGTCCTGACAGACCTTTGTAACTGCCTTTGACTAGAAGAATGTGTCAGAAGTGACTTTCAGGATTGGTCATAAATGGCAACAGGCTTCTGGTTGGCTCTCACTCTCTCTGGACATGTAACTCAGGAGCCCTGAGAAGCCATATAAGTCCAGCTACCTCGAAGCTGCCACACTGGAGAGACCACATGGAAAACCCAGAGACTTCTAGGAGCCCCAGCTGTTCAAGCCTTTCCAGTCCAAGCACCAGAAATATAAATGAACAAATATTCAAGATGACCCAACCCCAGCTACAGTCTGGCTATATTCTGAATATGAGCAAACCACCAGCTGCAGCTCCCAAATTCCTGATCCACATAAACAGGGAAAGCTAATACATGAATATATTGCTTCAAGCCACCATATTTTAAGGTGAGTTGTTATGTAGCATTCCGAGTGCCTGGGTGGCTCAGTCGATTAAGCGTCTACCTTCCGCTCAGGTCATGATCACAGGATCCTGGGATCGAGCTTCACGTCAGGCTCTCTACTCAGCGGGGAGCCTGCTTCTCCCTCTGCCTCTGCTACCCCCCCTGCTTGTGCTCTCTCTCTCTTCTTTCAAATAAATAAATAAAATCTTAAAAAAAAAAAAATAAACAGAACAACCCCTTCATTTCTCACCCAAGATATACTGCAGTTACTAGTTGAAGGTGTCTCCTTAGAGATTCTTTTGTGAAATTTTTAACAAACTTTAAAAAAAAAATACAAAGGAAGGGCACCTTTGTGGGTGGCTCAGTCAGTAGAGCAACCGACTCTTGGTTTCTGCTCAGGTCTCGATTTCAGGGTTGTGGGACTGAGCCTGGGCTCCGTACTCATCAAGTGAGTCTGCTTGGTATTTTCTCTCCCTCTGACCCTCCTCCCTGTTCTCTCTCTCTCTCTCAAATAAATAAATAAATTTCAAAAAAAAATAAATTTTAGGGACACTTGGGTGGCTTAGTCAGTTAAGCATCTGCCTTCGACTGAGGTCATGATCCCAGGATTCTGGGATTGAGCCCTGCATCAGGCTCCCTGCTCAGCAGAGAGCCTGCTTCTCCCTCTCTCTCTGCCGCTCCCCCTGTATGTGCGCACTCTCTCTCTCTCTCTCACTTCTCTCTGTCAAATAAATAAATAATATCTAAAAAAATAGTAATAAATAAATTTTAAAAATACAAATGAGCTCATAATATATATATTATGGGGATTAAGACACGCACCTGTAATGAGCACTGGCTGATGTATGGAAGTATCGAATCACTATATTGTACACCTAAAATTAATATTATATTGTATGTTAACTGACAAATTTAAATAAAAACTTTAAAATATATCATGGACATCTGTGCCCCTTAGCATATAGATCAACCTCATCCTTTAATACCTACATAATACTTCACTATATGGATGTCCCACAATTTGTATTCTCATCCCTCAGTGCTATATATATATTTCCAGTCTTTTTGAAATAAATATTTACATCAATACAATTTTATAACAAAATTATAATCATACTACCACACCATTTTGTAAACTATTTTTACGTTCAACATTGTTCTTATGATATTCTTTAAAATATTAACTTTATTGATAGAATAATATATATCATCTGAATGTACCATAATTTATTTAAATAAGTCTATTGCTGGACATTTATGTTATTCCTGATTTAAAATACTGCAGTTAACATCATAATACATTCATTTGTATATACTTGTCCAATTATCTCCTTAGAATAAATTTCTAAAAATAAAAATGTTGGACCCAGAACTATGAACATTTAAGATTTTATACAAACTGTAAAATACAAGAAAAGGTTGTTCTAATTAATGCTTCCAACAACAAGAAATGAGACTATATACTTTCCTATAAGTTTACTAACTCTGATCATTTATTTTTTTTTCAAGATTTTTATTTATTTATTTATTTGAGAGAGAGAGGGTGAAAGAATGAGCAGGGAGAGTGGCAGAGGGAGAAGCAGACTCCCCACTGAGCAGGGAGCCCGATTCGGGGCTTGATCCCAGGACCCTGAGATCATGACCTGAGTGGAAGGCAGATGCTTAACATACTGAGCCACCCAAGCACCCCTAACTCTCATCTTTTAAAAAAATTTTTATCTTTGCTAATTTCAGTGGTTAAAATTATTTCACCTTTGTTTTAATTTACATTTCTTTCATTATTATATATTATAAGATACAGCCAACCTCAGTTTTCTTTCATAACGTCCTCCGAGATTACTGAAGTAAAAACTCTCGGGGTGCCTAGGTGGCTCAGTCATTAAGCGTCTGCCTTCAGCTCAGGTCATGATCCCAGGGTCCTGGGATCGAGCCCCACATCGGGCTCCCTGCTCAGCAGGAAGCCTGCTTCTCCCTCTCCCTCTCCCCCTGCTTGTGTTCTCTCTCTTGCTGTGTCTCTCTCTGTCAAATAAATAAAATCCTTAAAAAAAAAAACTTTCAGCACCACAGGGAATCCTGCCCAAGGAATTCAGAGATTAACTGCCCCCTGGGCTGTCATATGGACTACAGCCTTACCGACTGATGACTAGGTATTTCACATTCCACCCCTTTGCTTTAGTATTTTTGACATTTCGGGGTACTTATTTGAGGCAAGTATACTTATGAGACATAGGTGACATTGGGAGACTGTCAATGCAGAGTCTTTCACTCTGGTTACGCTAGGCTACAAAAGGAATTTAGGCCCAGTTGGAATTAAAGTGCTGAGAGAAGAAGATCAATCTTGTTATTTGAACTGATCTTGCTAAACTGTATTTCAAGATGATCTCAACTGGTCATTCCAATGACCTTCTGCAGGCTCTCAGGAAGGAAAGCTTCTTATGGTACTGGTTGAGGTGCTAATGATTCACACAAAGATCCTGAGTCCATACAGGAGATGTTGTTCTTGTTCCCTGAGGCCC